GCTTAAGAAAGTGTTACCATAGAGGTCACTCTAAGACCAGAAGGTCCCGAAGAAAAGAGCTCAACTTTTTGGCTAATCGATTCACCCCTTGAAACATAGGAAAATCCACGTACCCCTCATTTTATCTGTCAAACTTTCATAGCGAATCAAAACAAATATAGTGTAGTGCTGGAATTTATACAAGATTGGGGTACGTTAATCGATTTGCTTGGGACCAATAGGCTGGTCAAGTAGTGAGCCAATTTAAAATCGTTAGTTTCGTATTGATGGTTGGTAACACTTTCTTCAGCAAAAAGCAAATAGATCCGATGAAACGTGCTCAACTTTTTGGCTCAGTTATCTTCGGTCTCAAGCTAATTAATGCACCCCTCGAAGCATAGGAAAATCCACGAACCCCTCATTTTATCTGTCAAACTTTCATAGCAAATCAAAACAAACATAGTTCAGTACTCGAACTTCGACTAGAATGGGGTACGTTCATCGATGTACTTGGGACCGATAGGATAGTTCAGTGTGAGCCAATTTAAAATCGTTAGTTTCCACCGGTTGGTGTTACTGCTACCTATAGCTACATCAAATTTAAACAGCACATTTCAGTGATCAAATTACCTGCAAGTTTTTTATCTTGTTCGACTTTTATTACTCTTCGATCCTTGTTTGGACCCTGCTTGGATATCGATCCTCGTTTGGACCCTGCTTGGATATGTAAAGTTCCTCTTCGATCCTTTGGATTCTAATAGTAATCTGCTTGGAAGTCAATTTGAAGATAAAATTGACTGCTGTCATGGCATCTAAACGCAAAATAAAAGGGCAATATCTTAATTCCCCTTCTGATGAAATTTATTTGAGCAATTAATTTGATATGCTCATGGACGATGAGAATGATCCATCATCTAGGCAAAACTTCTCTAAACTTTCCCGGCTTAATGCCGGAAAAGGTTCCCACCTGTCGGCATAACCACTTCCAATTTTCATGCTCTCCGCACGGAGCTATTGAACTTCGTTAACTTGGAGTTTTCACTTCAAATTGGCCGTCGGGGTGAAACATGTATTGGCTGAAATCTGGGATGGATTCAAACGTCTTCTCCAGTATCTTATTGAGAAGCAACACACATTTTTCACTTATGACTCCAAAACTGAACGTGTGTTCAAGGTTGTCATGAAAGGACTGCCCAGTGGTGAATCCATATATCAGATCAAAGATGAATTGACTAAATTACTTGGAATTGAGCCACTCCAAGTAAACAAAATGAAAATGAAATCCCGTCCTGGCGATTCGCGCAACGGGATTTCTTATGATTTTTTATTTAGTTCACTTCAAGTCTAGTGAATTAAACAACCTTAAGGCCTTAGAAAAAGCTAGTCTTATGCTACATGTACGAGTGAAGTGAGAACACTTCAGGAAGACTGGAGGAAATTTCCAAACCCTCACCCAGTGCCGTTAGTGCCAGGAATGGGGTCAGGGAAAAACAACAAAAAAAGCTACATGCCAGCTAAATGTATGAATTGCGGAAATTCCTCTCACCCAAAGGACAACTGTCTTGTGAAGGAAGATCCTAAGAAATTTGAATGTAAAAATTGTGGAGAAAACCATAAATCCAATTTTTGGAAATGTAAGACTCGCAATCTTGTTCTAAGATACAGGTAGGAAACGCTTCACGTTCCTGACCATGTACTAATTTCTCTGCTGTTAACAACGGTCAGCGAGGAACAAATTCTACATTCGTACCCACTGGCAGCTCTTGATCCGTTTGAAAAATGTCCATGAAAGTCATCTGGTTAATTTTTCAAAAACAAATTAAAAAGCGATTCTCTAACTTTAGTAATCTGAAAACAATGTTTCTAAATTAGACCCAAGTCCCAAACCCTTTTGGAAGCTCACAATTATTTTGAAAAAAAAAACCTCAAAACCCTATTCCAGCGCTTGGAGAGAGTAGTAAAATTTTAATCACAAATTCGGAACGTACTCAAAAACTTACTAAGAAATTCGAGAATTCCCATAATTTCAGGTTGCTCGGAATTATCTGAATATTTTCTCTCGGGATAATATTTTAGGCCCCCATGATTGGATAAGTAAGATCTATAACTAAAAATTTCGAAAGCTCCAGGTGATGATAGAATTTTCTATATCCTCATAAAAAAGCTCCCAGAAAGTACCTTATCTTTCTTGCCACAACTATATAACAAATGTTTCCATTTTGCATTCTTTCCTGATAAATGGAAAAATACAAAAGTTTTTCCAATTTTGAAGCCAGATAAAAATCCAGCTGAAGCTTCTAACTACCGTTCAATAAGTTTGCTTTCTTCAATAAGTAAACTTTTTGAAAAGATAATTTTAAATAGAATGATGCTACACATCAATACAAACTCAATTTTTGCAGATGAGCAGTTTGGATTTCGCCATGGGCATTCAACTACTCATAAAAGCTATCAATTTAATTCGTTCAAGCAAATCTAAAGGCTGCACAACTGGAATTGCTCTTCTAGATATAGAAAAAGCATTCAGTGTTTGGCATGAAGGTTTGATTGCTAACTAGAAAAAAAAAAGTTTAATTTTCCACTCTCTATTATGAAATTAGTTCAAAATGATTTAACTGACAGAAATCTGCAGGTAAATTATCAGAATTGCAAATCTGATCGACAACCTGTTAGAACAGGAGTACCTTAGGGTAGCATTCTTGGGCCTAAATTGTATAACATTTTCACTTCGGACCTCCCTGATTTGCCTCAGGCTTGCCACAAATCTTTGTTCGCCGATGACACAGACATTTTCGCTAAAGGAAGAAGTCTTCGTGATGTTTGCAGCAGACTGCAGAAAAGTTTAGAATTTTCTCTTCTTATTTACAAAAATGGAAGATTTTTCCAAACGCTGATAATATTTCCACATAAGCCTAGAGCATCTTTTTTGAAAAAGGAGTAGTCACATAGTAACTATGAACGGATTTCCTATTTCTTGGTCAAGTCAAGTGTATCTTGTATTAGTACTTGACCAAAATTGGCCTTTTAAAGATCAGATTGAGGGTATTTAAGCCAAATGTAATAAATATATAAAATGTTTGTATTCTCTTATAAACAGGAAATCCAAACTTTGCCTGAAGAATAAACTTGTAATATTTAAACAAGTTTTTAGATCGGCCATGCTTTATGCTCTGTCAATATGGTATAGTTGTTGCACTACCAGGCAGCACTTCAAAGGATTCAGAAGTATTGAAGTTGCCTCCCTGGTACAGTACTACCGAGGTACATATAATTTCGATAGTTGAGACTTTAGAGCAAATGTCCAACAAAAAAATGATATTATCATTTAAAAACCGTTGCAATCCTCAACTGCAACGATTGTTTCCCTTCATACTTAGATAAGATTTAGTTTTTAGTTTTAAGATGTCAATTGTTATACTGATATGCAGGTTTAGTAAACCTGTTTAAAATACTGAATTTCCAAGGCAGGAACAATGTAAAAACACTTAGATATACACTCCCGATCATAAGTTTAAGGACACCCTCAAAAAACATGACAAATTTGTTATGTTCATATCTCTGTCATGTTACGTCCAATTTTCGTTCTTTTTATATCATTTCAAAGGTATTGAACGGAACATTCCTCGTAGTCGAATTGTTTGATATAATTTTCAAATTTTTTGTTCACCCAAAGTTACAATATTTTTCAAAATTTACTCTGAAGAATCTTGACTGATTTTCTCAGAATTGGTTTGGCAGAATTTTGAAATAAAAGTAGTAGTAGAACACTTATGCTATACCATTCATACCAGTCAAATAACCTCTGGAGGTCGAAAATTGAACGTACAATGAGAGATCATTCGACAGAACATATTTGCATGGTTTTTTGGGGGTGTCCTTAAACTTATGATCGGTAGTGTAATTCATTACAATTAGGGCTGGTTAGTTACTGTAGTAATTGGAGCACCTAGGTTAAAATGTAATGTAATTTATTTTGAATGTGGAACAAATAAACAGTTTTTTTTTGTTATAGTAGCTTTGTAGCATTCATAAATTGTAAATTGGTACTTGGGTATTCATGTACAGACTAATTTGTGATTTTTCTTCAAATGTAAAAATCTATGTTATGAAATTGTGTTGGCAAGGTTTATAAATGTCATATGAATTGCGCATACACTCTATGCGAAGACAGCAATCACAAAAATCTATGTAGTTTGCTTAAAACATTCAATATGGATTATTCTTTTCATGTACATAAGCGATACGCACCACAAAACGTGTGGATCGTGAACTTATTCATGGAGATTACAACACATTTCCACGCTAACCTCCAAAACAATAGCAACTTCTTGAATGAAACCGTCAACACCTCAGATGAACCCCGGTGGACCTACCTACCTACCTGTTCCACCATAGCAGTGCTTTTTAATTAATTCCGTTGGACTACATAGCATTAAGATACTGCGATACAGAAACAACAGCACATAGCTCTAACAGTAAATATGTAAGGGGGCTACATAATGTAGAAAAGCAATCTCAGCACACTCTTCAAGAACAAGATAAGCGTAAGGAGAGATGAATGATGAAAAACCGTAGAGTTGGTTGAAACTCGACGAGAAACATCAACTCCCCATGTAGACGAGTCACAGTGCTTTGCGCAATCACCTATCCACATCCAGCAGTCTTCTCGTTTCCCCTAGTATCTTTACATGCTGCTATCCCTTTCAAATGCGACTCTCTATCCATCTCTTTCTTCTCACCTGGCTCACCTTGATCTTTTCCGCACTCCTCTCAGCGAAGAGCGCTTGCTCTTTACTTACTCAGCTCTCGTTACCTGCGCGAGCTCACTCACTCACGGCGTGATATCATCCGCTCCATTCCAACCCCTCCAGGTGTGTTGGGACCTAAACGGTGCCGGAGCAGGACAGAAAATCGTCCACGGCAAAACCGGTCATCCGCGGTGCGCACAGCTGAGAGAGAACGCGCAAGTCACTCCGAATGCGACTTACCTGACCGAGGTCTCTCACTCGTAGAATAACGCGCGCACGTATCGCACGTTTATTCGCATCCGCTTTTCCGTCGCTTGTAGAACGCCTTTTTGTTGATCGATTCGCCGTCTTCGCGTGATCCTGCGCAGATTACGGGCAAGGATCTCTGTTGAATCGTGTCGTCGCCAACAGGTCGGTCGTGGTTATTTTTTTTGTTTGCACCGTAGAAGACGATCGTGTCAGGTTAATTGGATAATTATCGCTTTAGTGGATTGCGTGAAGGAACAACGGAAGTTTTTGGTTGAAAGGAGATTCTCCGAGAAGAACCTGTTGTAGTGCAAGTGGAATTAAGGTGCGTTAATTAAGCTGACAAACGCAAGGTTACGACACTTGATTAAGTGAAGATTGCTTATGTGACAACTCAAGTAGTTTAATTGAAGATTGGTGCTAATAATAAAACGAAGAATTTTGGAATTTGATTTGCAACCGAAGAAAATGTGATTTTTTAGAGGTGTAATTCATTAGCAACTGGTGGCAATAATATAAAAACAAGCTTTCAAAAGTGATGGAGAAGCAGTGCAAATTGGAAAGTTTGAATCGATCAAGTTGATTTGAAAAAGTGAAAAAAAAATACTAATCCAGAACAAAGATCAATCGGATCACCGTGATTAACACCGAGCAAATATCGGCGAAAGAAAGCTGGCGTCAGTGGTTGGAGAATTTTAACAGTGAACCATCAAGCGCAGTCTCTGGAGCAGAATGGAATCGGACGGAGAACGTGACAACGGCTACAGCCACTACAAGTGAGTGTGTCCTAGAAATTACTATTCCTAGTCCGCTTTGTTGCACTTGAAGAAAAGCCGTGAAAAAAGTCGTGATTTGGCGTTAAAGTTCGACGAGCGTCGACCGTCCGTCGGGGTGTCAATAAACCTGCCATAGGAATTCAGCGCTCGGCGACAATGACAACGCCACCAAGTGTTTTGGTGCGATCGAGGCAAGGGACTCTCATTAACATTTTGATAGGTACCACCGAGCGCGACCGATGCGACGTGCGATGGCGAGTGCACCACACCACGCAGGAGAAGAACACTGGCTGAAGCCTAGAGCCGAGGTTCGAGCGGATGTACTAACGGGGCAAAGTCAGGGTTCCTCAAGCTTCTTCGTCTTGTGGTTGCGGTGTGGGAAAGAAAGTGTGTTTGGTTCTGGGATTCTTCCGACGACTCGGCTCTGTTTTGGTGCTTCTTTTCATTTAATTTATGATTATTAAATTCAGTGCTTGAGTTTTAAATATGTAAATTACCCCGGCGGAGGGAAGAAGTAATTGAACGGAAAGGAAGGAACCACCCGACTGAATCATCGGATGGGAGGCGGAAGGCGAGGAGAGATGGGTGAAGAATAGGGAGGGGGGTTGGTCGTGGCGGTAGCGTAGGGAGACTCCGTTATTTTATTCGGGGCTTTTGAAAGTGACCTAGTCAAGTGTGCTGATTTCGGAAGGTGCTTTGTTTAAGGGTACGACGTTGCTAATTGAAACTGTAAATAAACGAATTTCGATGAATACCTAATGAAGCTGGCTTCGTTGTTGGGGCAAATACTAGTGGTCAGTGTGTGAGGTTGCAAGTCTGTGTTTTACTTTGATTATGAAATGGTTGTAATTTTTGGGAATGCAATATTGATTATACACAGGAAAAAAGTACATACTGAATTTCAACCATTGCGCAAAATCTCCCCTTGTTCAAGTTTGGCCTATAGCTGGCATAAACAACGAAATTGAACATAGCTAATTTATGCCATATTACACTTAAATTTAAGCCAAATCTAGCGTTAATTACGTGTGCGCTATATATCGCAGAAATTTACATGATTTTTCGAAACGGTTAGCAATACTGAGGCTACGCCGTACTAAGAGGCCTTGTATCTGAAACTGAATTTAAATTAAGCCTTTTCGTAGCTTTTTCATACGTTTACGTATTGTACAAAGCCAACAGCAAAACAAAATACTGTACTACACAGAATAAAAAAAATGAATTTTACTAGTGACATAAGCATCCGTGAATGCAAACATTCATGCATGTAAACATCCACACTTAGAAATAACTAATTTTAAACGTGACAGAATCCATCTTCGACATAAAGGATCAGACTGAAAAGTTCGTTGCTCGACGAAAAGTACGTTTGATTGAGCTATATTTCGCGTCTATTATGACTCAAATTTATGTCAAAATGGACGCTCGTATATGCCACTCTCAGAGCACCTAAATTTACATGTGTGTCCCATTCACGTAAACTAAAAGCTCACAAGAAATGATGCTTGCAAAGATAGACGTGGACGTGGAGTATTTCATGAAATGTCTCAAAACTTTACACGATACACACTTAGAAAAATTAATTTAAATTTAGGTGCTCTGAGACTGACATATACGAGCGTCAATTTTGACATAAAATTTAGTCATAATAGACGCGAAATTCAGCTCAATCAAACGTACTTTCGAACTTTTCAGTCTCGGAGCACTTAATGTTGGTTTACGTCTCATCCTTTATGTCAAAAATGGATTCCGTCACGTGTAAGATTAGGTATTTCTAAGTGTGTATAATTTAAATTCGGGGCCTCCCTTAGCTCAGTCGGTAAAGGCACAGCTACAAAGCAAGACCATGCTGGAGGTGGCTGGGTTCAATTCCCGGTTCGGCCTAGGAATTTTTCGGGTTGAAAAATTTCTTTACTTCTCTGGGCATAGAAGAATGATTGGACTTGCCACACAATAATACCAATGTAAAAATGGTACAGGCATCGAAAGCTCTCAATTAATAACTGTGGAAGTGCATCTAGAACACTAAGTTGAGAGCACGCAATAAGCTAATATGCGATATGCAATAAGCTTAAAATGTGAAGAACAAGAAGAAGAAGAAGATAATTTAAATTTGATTGATATTTGACGCTCCCTTTATGTGTATCGAAGTGACAGAAATTTACACTACTTTTTTGAACTGTTCACTACTAAAATATATTTTTAGTTCAATTGTTTATGATCTTATATTAGTTGTTATTTTTAGTGGCATCGCGTAACGTCACTTTATACCTGTGCACCAACTTTAAAAAACGTGTTATTTAGCAATAATTACATTTAAATCGATTGTAAAATGTGCAGAATCTTCGAGTCTCCGAGTCAAGCGTTTTGAGAGTTGATGCACAGGAAGATTGCACACTTAGAAATACTTAATCTTACACGTGACGAAATCTATTTTTGACATAAAGGATGAGACGCAAACCAACATGTAATGTAAAAGTTCGATAGTACGTTTGATTGAGCTGAATTTCACGTCTATTATGAGCGTACACCTGTATGGGAAATTTTTTGAAAGACTGAGTAGATAGATTTTTGAAATGTTGACTAGTGGTTGAACAATTATTTATTGCTTTATCAGTATAGCTTTGGACTTTATTGGCAGAGTATGTATGAAGTTTGAGTAATTTCAGTAAAACAGTCGATTTTCAAGTTTTCTTTTTATGGTCTGCGGATTTTAGTAAAATTAGCGGCATCTTAAAGATATTTAGTATGACTACAGATTAGCAAAATTTCAATATGTTTGGCTCACTGTATTTCAAGAAAATGTGTTTTTTTTGGAAATTTAGTTTTTCTAAAATAGCTCTAACTTCTTACACACTCATCCAAATAAGCCCAATACTATACCGATAACCAATAAATGGTTGATGAGCCAGCAGCCAAAAAATAGAAATCTATTTTTTTAAAGTTATTCAGCTGTTTTTCTGAAATGTACGGGCAGCTGTACGCTTAATTTTGAGATACACTGTATGTCAGTCTCAGAGCACCTAAATTTACATTAATTTTTCTAAGTGTGTAAGGGTAGGGTGACGCCACTGGTTACATTGCAATCGATGTTGCCTATCTTCGGTAAATATTTAGTATTAAGTTTCTATAGTAATTATTCGATTTTGTTAGTCCCTCCGCGAATTACACTTTCCATATCTTTCTAACTCATCTTCAATATGGATGTTTAAGGTATACTTTGTTGCAATAAGACCACTGAAAAAAGGCTAGAACATTAGAAAAGATGTTCAAAAAGGGGGCTGACACAATCGGGTCATTACTATACACACTTAGAAAAAATCATGTAAATTTAGGTGCTCTGAGAGTGACATATACGAGCGTCAATTGTGATATAAATTTGAGTCATAACAGACGCGAAATATAGCTAAATCAAACGTGCTTTTCGTCAAGCAACGAACTTTTGCGTCTCGAAGCACTTAATATCACATAACATGTTTGTTTACGTCTCATCTTTTATGTCACAGGCGGATTCCGTCTCATGTAAAATTAGTTATTACTAAGTGTGTAGTTTACATTATTCCCTCTTGGAGGCATATTTAGTTGGAAAATACTGTAGGAAAAGAGGTTATTAGTTATTGCTAGATTATTGCACATTTTGGACTCTAGCGTTAAAACATTATAATTACTGTGGGATATCGTTTTTGGCAACATTACACGAAGCTCCTTAATTGAAAAATTCAAAACGATGTGTTTCTTATTTTCGAATGCCGAAGAAAGGACTTGCAGGAAAACTATTTAAAGATATGAATAAAATTAACCATTTGAAAAGAAGAACGACTGAACAATATTTGTTGCTGAAATCAAGATCCAACTGTATACGATTTATTCAAAATGAATCATTTAGATCTTTTCTGACATGTGCGGATACAATCTGAGACATTATTTAGACTTTCAGATTGAACCAAATTGCAATTCTTGGGCAGTATGATACATTTCAATCATAATGTAGAACATAATCAAAATTCCATTGATTCACAAACTTTCAATCCAAATTCCAGCATTTTATCAACTCTTTATCATTCTACGTTCATCCTTCATGAAGATGGAACTATTTGTTTTTTTTTCTAATGGGTGTCAGGGCATAAAGCCGAAGTAAGTTAGGCTGAAAAGGTCATTAGGCCGAAGTTTTGATCCCTTCAAAAATGAGCAGTTTTTTTTTTCCGAGTGAAATTATTGTTCTGATTTTTGTCACTCAATGTTTTTATTTTATTAATTTTTTCATGTATAATTTTCTAGAAGCTGTTCCTTCTTTTAAATTCAGCAGGAGCACCAGTGGGGTTGGAGCCCCAGGTGGGAGCACCAATAGGATGAGAGTGCTGGTGGGGCGGAAGCTCAGGGAATTAGGAGTGAGGCGGTAACGACAGTGGAGCGAGAGCACCCACTATCTATGCCTTCTGGCTCCCCTTGGAACCACTTGAGCTAATGAACCATTCGGCCTAACATACTTCGGTCCAATGACCCAGCACCAAGTAATTTTTACTTGTAATCTGCGTATATTTTTACACACTATTAGGCTCACAAATAATATTTTCATTTTATCTCCGTCTTCACTCGAAAAACATAAAAACATAAACAAGAGACGAAACAAAATTTGATGGACGAACAATTTAATACTTCAAATAATCATGTTTTTTTAATTCATGCATGCAGTTTACTATTACATAGTTGGAAATGCTTAACGTTAATATCAGACTTAAGATGATTCCTTGTAGAGTTCACAACTCTACAAATTACATAAATCTCGGAAATCACTGCTCCATTTCAACTGAAATGTCTACTTCATGTCTGCTGCAAACGTGGAGTAACAGCTTCAATGATGTACGTGTCGTAGAAGCTGATATTTGTGCACTTAAAGTTTCGAAGTGGTTACGAGCATAAGGATCTCCAGGAGTGTCCCAGAGAAGTGTATTACGGCCCCTGTTATTTATTATGTATATTAATGACTTGCGACGTGTTTT